CTCAGAGCACTTCAAATTTAATGCCCACCCTCAAATGTATTCGTCATTCACGTATCAATCTCATAAGCTTGAGTCCAGTGACTCACTCCACTTCAGTTCTTCAGCCATATCTTTTTCCGAATACCATCCCTGGTCACAGGTGAGCGTAATCGTAGCAGACTTTGTGAATATAACCTCCAACTCGTTGAGGAAGGCATCCTTCCGCTGCGATTATGTATATTAAAAAACTGAATACACAACACGTACATACGCAACAGAACATCCAACGTCAGCCACCGAACAGAAGACAAATCAGTCCTTATCAAAGTTGACTTGCTTGAGAAGGTTTGCCAGATCATCCAAGGATTTGGAATTCATCAGCTCCTTAGCCCAAGGTGGCATCTCCAAATCTTTTCTTTTTTTCTTATCCTTTCGCATTCGGGTAATCCGGGCTTTGGCCGCCAAATGAAGCAGCTCCTGACGGTTGGAGCTGTTTGTTTGCTATATAGAAGTATAGTTGCATGCATGCAAACAAGCAATGTATACTGGTTTATATGAGGATTGGTTTGGCTTGCACGGCTCCTGACGGGTACGTGGCCTGGCTCCTTTGAGACTGGATGCAGGTTTCGAACCTTGAGCTCGGCTTCGGGCAGGTGAAGGGATAGGGCGACTCAGGGGCAACTCTTTGTCATCTCCAGGTTCAACCTCCTCTTTGACATCAACAACCCTAGCAGTGACAGCTTCCTCTGCGGCCGCATGATTGTTGAGCGCTTCCATCAAAGAGATGTCGTCGATCTGTACCTGCATCATATGCACAGACATTTTTTCTCCAGTGTTCTTTGTATATATATATATATATGATATACATATAGGGCCATTGAATAGATTTAGGAAGTGTGAGTACACAAAACAAGCATAACATGTTCGCCTCGTCATCTGAAGCATCAACGCTTGTCCACTGGCATTTGTCCGTCGCGCCCAATTGATAAGGATCAGCCTGGGACCAGACTGGACATATATACTTTACGGGATCACCTTCTTTGTTTATATAGTTTATATATATATCTGTTTATCTCTGAAAAACTGAGCAAAGCTCACCCATTGGATTGCTTTAGCACCACTGCTGTTTATATACACATGAGTATGTGCCAAGTAGCCGGAAGAGTGTCAGCTGACCAAATGTCGAGGGCGAGGGTGGGATCAGCCTTCCAATCAAGTTACATCATGCAGGTGTGAGAGTGCACATAACAATTGGACGCCTTCAAAGAATGCGAACCGTTCTCAACGCTCAGAGCTTGCAGCGCCTGGCAAACTCACCGTAGCAAAAAATGTTTCTCTCTATATGTGTGTGTGTCAATTCTATATATATATATTCTTTGCTCGAGGCCTGAATCTCACGTTCAACCTCAAGTTCTTCTTCCTGTAGTTTCCTGGCTTCCTCCGTCAGATGGTCGAGGCCATCTGTCAACGTTTGGCAGCTCAAGATCCGACTGGAGCTGGCCATCCCCGCAAAATAACAAAGTCAAATTTAAAAAATGCCTGCGGATGATATTCTCAGCTGCTTTCTCCTATATAAGCCCCATATATACAAGCTACTCACCAAATTTGCAAACATAAAGCTGGTAAGCGATTGTTTTGCCGGCGTAACTGTCTGATCAAATCCTTCCGGCACGTCGAATTTCCGAATTTAGCACAGCAACTCCACTGGTCAAAAAAAACTAGGTTAACCCATTTTTTCACGACGGGTTGCGACGGGATAAAAATGGGTTGATGACGGGTTGCGACGGGTTCAGGGAAAACTGGGTTTTTTTCCAAAATATGGGTTGTGATGGGATAAATATGGGTTGTTGATGGGTAAAAGATGGGTTACCCCACTTTTTCCTTCCCCTAAGCTCCAAAAGGTGCACAAATCCTGACCTGGGGTTGCTAAATGTGAATTACCAGTGGCCAAACGCGCTGCGGAACCAAAAGTCCGACAGTCGGACTCTTCGACCCCCATTCCAGACAGCCAACAAATGCCAACAACAGCGGTAAACATGTTGACCGTTTTCATTTTCCGCTCGATCACCAGTTTCATCAATGAACATTTATGGCTTGTCTATGAATGGGCGCCATTCTTCAGGAATCTTCAAGCGTTTGCATTTGCGAATGTATGCAAACACGTTTCCTAAGTTTGAAAATTGCCAGTCTGCCGGATTATCCGGAGGAAACGTTTGGAAGGTTTCCAAGGCTGAAGGCAGAGGATCAGGCAAAGGCGGGGTACCGGTTCCCGTGGTAATCAGCTCATCGAACATATCCGACAAGAACCTCCCGAATTTGACTGGATACTCCCTCAGCAAAGTGAAGCGCTTCAGTGATCTCCGGGGTCCTTTGAAATGAAAAGCTCAAATGTAAAGGCTCCATCCTATCCATTCCGAAAAATCATTCCGGTCAACACGCAGAACAAACCAGCATTCATTCTCCAACACATCGCCAGACATCCCCAAAAGGAAGGTTCACTCGACGGGGCTGTCAAACATTTATCCACGAGTGTGAGGACCAAGAAGAGTCATAAACACAAGACCTTTGTGGCTTGAAAGGGACTAATTGACAAGAAGGATACCCCAAAAAGATTGCACTTGTTTGTGTAGCACCGCTTGACTGACGACCGCTTCGGTTTTGAGAGATAACTGGACTCCCCAAAAAATGACTCAACAAATGTCCCTGTCCCTTTCCTGAAGAGTTTGCGTGTTGATTTCACTATGAGATAAATACCACATGCATCTATAAACTGCCCCAAAAAATGAATATTGGCGGTGATCTCCACTCGTACACCAGCAAGAGCGGGATACATGGCCAAGTGTCTCCGTTTGCTTAAGTTTGCGCGTGCCAACATATCCGGTAGAGCCGTCTTTTCGTACATATCGCTTAACCGTGTCTGTGCGTGGCGCCCCCCTTCTGCCGGTGCAGAGTGCCCTGGTCGAGCCGACTAATGGCCCTGGAGCTTGACCATGCCCAGTGCCTCTTGTCCGTACGACCTGCAAAATGTTTCATCCACCATCCAGTTTTTGTAGCCTGGGCAGAGGATGCACTGCTTCGAACTCGGATTATCTACTGTAAGTCGTGCCCAGGCATATTAAGGAAACTTAAACAAAACTGTTCTGCTGGCTTAGCAACTGCATGACCAGCAATCTTTAGGTGCTGAAGCAGGACAAACTGCCATGGGGGGAAGAACTCAAACCAACTCCCAGATGGCTGTTCCAGCGCCCAAGTTCCTCCTAACGCTGCCACAAGTAGGCAGAGAAGGCATGTCCTGGCAAACCAGGGCCGAGCACTATTTATATGATCATATATATATATATATGTATGTTTTTATGTTGTGTTTTCTATACCTTTGTTTGTGTGGCGCTGCAACCCAAAACAGTTGTCTCCTCTCCCCTAGCGCATTGGCATATTTGACAGACTGGCGATCCAAGTTCCCAACGCTGCAGCACGCTCCGCGTTGGGACGTGCCAGTATTCATCTTGCTCCATGATGAGCACTTCATTCCAAACCACGCCAAGAACTTGTCTTTGCTGTGCAGTAGGGACCGTATAGCCAGACTTAGATTCACCCAAATTTGAATCCACCCTCGAAAAGAAACATAGATCAAACGACAACAACAACATAGAATTTGGTTATATAGGTCCAGAGAACCAGAACCCAGAAGGGTCAAGAAGGTCCATATAGTTGCTCCCGTGGCCTTCCCTTTTCTGGTAATAATTTATGTCGAGGCTGCACACCGCAAGGCCCATTACAGCCATGCACCTCGAGGCATTGGCCTTGCCCGCAAAGAACTCAAGGTAGTCGTACTCCTGCAGGTACAATCTCAGGAGCTTGACACATATGGTTGTGGAGAGCCCCATTGGACACTGCATGATCCCTGATCCCTGGTGGGCTAACACGACATGAAATGCCGCAGGACAGCCTGGTGGAAATCGAAGTCGCACCACGAGGTCAACAGCACCAAGACCGCAAATGCCTACACAAAGACTGTAACATAATAAATGTGCGCAATGCTTGCCTCAAGCATGTCATGGACCAATATTTATATAGACTCAATTGCGCTGACAGCGCCTTAGGTATTTGAAGCTGTCTCATCCGCCACATGAGTGCATCCATGCTGTGGCCCATGGGTCAGGTAGCTCCAGCTTTTGACCCCTCCAAACCTTTCGAGAAATACTCGATCAGGTAAACAAAATGGCTGCAGACTGAATGTTTCAAGAGGTTTGATTTTAAGCTCGACTCCTTTAAAAAAAAAATCACATCTTCATCTCCAAACATCTCGAAAAAAATTTGCTTGTCACCCAAGTCCGTAATGTAGGAAACAGGTCAGTTGGACGGGGCTGTTTGGACTTCAGAATGCTAGTACGCACCTTCCAAAGGTTGCCCTTTAGGCTTCGGCCTTTGGGCGGCATCCATCACTCAAGGCCTTGGAATGGTGATCCATCATCAAATCGCAAGTTTATCAAGCAAAGGGCTCTCAACTTCAACACAGACCGTGTGTCTTTTATTCACCCACATATATTTGAAGTTTGCAGAGTGCTCGATTTTCTGTCTATAGCACAGGCACATGCAAAGAAGCAATTGTGCACCTGCGCCAGCCACACAAAATGGTATACCCCATCACAGAGTTTGTAGTTGAAACTCCGTGCTCAAATGCTGGAAGTGCGCTCTCAAGTGGTTCTTTTGACCCCTGGAGTGTCCAACACTACAAACTATATAGACGACTTGAAAAACACGGGTAGACATCACAGTGAAAACAATCTGTCGATAGAGAGGCAAGTATATACCAAAGCTTTGAACCACAGCATGGTTGCCACACATTCCAGGTCTTTGCACACAGCCATAGCCATGAAAGACATGTCTGCTGCACGTCGTGTCCCCCCAACCAAAGCGTCTTTTGTACATACAAGAGTGTTGTTACCTGACATCTTGCACAGCAAAGACACGCTAACATCTAAAGCGCTGGCCGTGCTCTACAAATGTTTCTATGTACCGACTCAACGGGACTGGAGAATGCGCAAGGCCTCCCAACCGCTAGTCCTGATCTCCTCAGACTTGTCCATGATCTCGGTATAGCACGTGTCCACAAAGTCCCCAATGTCAGCGTAGGTGTCATCATGAAGCTGCTCATCAAACCACAACGCCTCCAGTAAAAAGTCATCGAATTATTATAGTAAATACCACGATCGAGAAACGTACATATTTGATTGCACCAACCATGGTGATCAATATCAATTAATAAGCCAAGGGACAAGTTGCTCTGCTGACTTGGTGGCCACAAGAAGGTTCTGCTTCGCGGTAGCATCGGGCGAGTTGTAAGCAATGGTCACAACATCCTTCTTGAGCGCTCGGGAAGTCAGGCCACATGAACATCTGGGCCAGTAGATGTTGTACCTTATATGGACAGAGTTCTGCAAGTGATGCTTGGCCAAGGACTTGAACTCAAGCGTGCAAGGCGAGGTCATCTCCAACTTGACGTTGTCGTAGTAGTCAACAAGCCGCTGGACCATATCAGCATCAACACCCTCCGTGCCATTGGAAGGCCTGGCCGGTGGTGCAGCCTTTCGCTTTGCGTTAGCTGCCTGGCCAGTTGATGCCCTGCCCTTTGCTTTGGCTTTGGCCTTGGTTGTGGCCAAGGCTTTGGCCTTGGCCTTGGCCTTGGCCTTGGGCATGCCTTTGCCCTTTGACTTCGCTCTTGAGTCTGCTGGGGACTCTGCAGCGACATTGGACTTGGCCCTCTTGGGCTTGGCACTTTCCTTGGCTTTGGGAGCTTTGCGAGTCTTCCCTGAAGAGCCACGGGCGCCCGGTTCAACTTCCTCAGCACCCTGGGACTTCTTGGACGCACTGCGGGAAGCCTTCAACACGGACCTCTTGCGGCTCTTCATGGGAGAAGGAGCCTTCTTGGAACGTTTCCTCTGCCCCTTCTTTCCCTTCTTCTTTCCCTTCTTGCCCTTTCCCTTGCCGCGTGTGTCCTTCCGATTCTTCTTGAAGCAAAGCTGGTCATTGCGGCTGACAAAGGTGACACTGCCCATGGGTTCTTCACGGATATCGGCCTCCTGAGGGAAGAGCACACAAGAAACCAAAGTTTGTCTTACAACGCTGCTGTCGAACACAAAACAACAAGCAAACAAATCCACCATTCCGAACCTTGTTGTCCAAAGGTGGAACAGGACCAGTAGATCCAGGAACTGTGCCAGATTCGGAGGTCTCCTGAATCTCGAGAGGCTTGTTCTGATACTGCTGCCTCCTCACGTCAGCCGGTACTTCCGGAGAAGTTCTCTCTGGTGTGGGCACCAGCTGTGGCGAAATTGCCATGATGTCGACCGGCTGTGTCTCCACGTTTGAACCCACAGCTTTTGCAGAAGGGATTGAGCCTGCACACGATGAACTATATATAGTCAATTTGGATATATAGACATCATGCCACTATTCGAATGACCCCAGGCATGTTATACTGTTCAATGCGGATGTTCTTCAACATCGATCACGATCAGTGCCTGCGCTCTCAGGGGCGAGTCCCAACTTGGTGGCCAAATCGTCCAGAATGTGGTGCTCTCTCTGAGGCACTGAGGGCTTCCCTGAAGCACTTGCCTCAATTGCCAATCGTTTTTCGCGAAGCCTTGGTGGCAGGTATATATATAGACAAACTTACAATTCCTGGAAATTTAACAGAAGCAAATCCCAAAAGTCATGAATTGAAAAAGACCGCAAAAACCTCAGGTCTTGTCTTCTGCAAACGTAGTTGGGCTTCAGCAATCCTCGTCTTCACATCGGATTCGCTGCCTGGATTTTCACAACAACTGCCAACAAGGCAAACAGCACGAAACCAACAGAAATTCAGCAAGCTATACAAAACATCACACATGATGCATATGCCATCACGTGCCGACCAGGCTGCAAACAACCGTGGATGTCTGCTTTTCAGAGGGCTTCGGGTCACCCGACTCTGACACCGCAGGCCCATTCTGCACAGGTGCGGGCTCTGGCACAAAAATGGGTTGACTCCCAGGATGAGGAGGGGAAGCCGCACGGGGACGCGCAGGTTCTGGAGTTTTTGGCGGAGGTTGAAGCAGGTCTTCAACGTCAGACTCTCCTCCATAATCATCAACAGCCCTGACGTCATACTCATCCTCATCAGCATCTAGGTCTTCCAATGCCTGCCCAGTTCTTTGCAACAAATGTATCGACACGGTATAATTACACCCCATGCAAAAAGATACTTACCCCAAACGGTCAACTTATATATAAATATATACAAGTCTATATGCCCAGGCCTGTGATGACGCAGAAGCCTTCCGGGCTTCGACCTTTTCGTTGATCTGTTTGACCAAGTCCTGGAAATGTGGAGGGACAAATATAGTGCAAAACCAAACTTATATATATATACATGGCGATCAATTGGAGAAAGCAGGTTAAGCGATTCACTCCTGAAGTTCTGGAGCAAGCACCAAGATCATTCTTTGGAAAGTGCGGTCCTCAAATTGTTAATTGAATTGGGAACTTGCAAACCTGAAGGGAATGATTCACAAAGGTTGTGGTCACATGATTGCTGTGTCTTTATTCAATTCTTGTAACCGAGTATCTATTGAGGGCTCGCAACGTCTGATCTTCAGCTTGATCAGAGCAAGATGTTTGCGAATGAACCAGCCGTCTGCAATGATGGTCGTTGCTTGCACCTCAAGTTTGTTCATGTCGTACACTTTCGTAATCTCGTCCCTGAGTGAGTGCACGTCTGGGAGCTTTTGAGTGGGAGACTCTTTCATCCTGTGGAGCAAGGGAGTCAAAAGAGCCTCGTTCTGAGCAGTTGTTGCCACATTGATAACCTCATTGCCTACACGAAGTTTGCCATCGTTTCGAAGGCATGAACGAAGAGCCTCATTTCCATCCCAATCCTTGCTGATCCCTGTGGCCTCCACCCGATCCCGAACAGCTGTACTCATGCCAGCTGCTGAAAAAGAGCACAAAAAGTTCCCACAGATTTGAGCCAAGCACTGTCTTCCACTATAAAAAATGTTGAGTGCAAGGACACAACTGAAGAACATGTGCACTTTATATAGATCTCAAATTGAACTGCCGCAGATTATCCACTTCACATCTTCCAATGTCTCGATCCGTTCTGACCACTCAGGCGTGGGCTCAGGTGATCACAGGTTGTGCTCCGGACTATATAGTGTGACTTCACACTTCAGCACGATCTCTTCAGGTGATACACTAATATGTTGGCTAAACGATATACATGTAACAGGTTGTGCGGAAAGCATGTTGTCTCTTGTTTGTCTTCTTTGACTGTCTATGCTACGCGGATGTATATGTTTTGTCAAACGTCATTCAACAGCTATATATGAGGTGCTCTTTATAGTGTTCATACCTCCAAAAATCTTGAGAGCGGCAACATAATCTCTCAAAATCAAGCTGGGCAATCACCTGGCTGGTGGAAGAGAAGAAAACCGAGTTTTTTTCAAGGAAACCGGGTTTTTGGCTGGAAGGCTTCTCAGAACCGGGTTTTGAGTTTGTAACCTACTTATTTTTAGGTTGTGGGTTCCCCAGGTAGCCTGTGAATCACTGAAAGTCCTCTCCCTCCAAGCTGTAAAGATTCAGTCTTAGTCTTGGATTTTTGTTTTCTTCCTGTATACAAAAGTGTCTCTTCTTAACATCACCGTGATGTTGGAGTGTGTTGGAGATCCATCAGTTTCCATTTGTTCATGGTTTCTTTGTTTGTTTCACCCTGTTTGTTCTGTTTCCGACCGCTCCTCCCTTTGTGAAATTCCCGTGGCCGTCCTTAGCGGCTGAAAACGGCCAGCCTGGCGTCAGGATGAATCTTCAGTTCGACCATTTCAGGAACGTCACGCCCAGTCGCTGTGGTCGTGACAGTCCTGTGCCGGAGGGCGAAGTGTTGGACGGAAGTCATTGGAAGATTTTGCCGATCCCTTGGGGTGATGCTACGGATGTCTTAAAGGGTTACTGAGTGAATGAGTGGGCCAATATTCCTGTCCGGTGGTAAAAGCGAGCGCCCCCCCTCCGTGTATATCATATCCCAGGAAGTGCGAGCCTTCCCGATTCATGAATTCACATCTCTCGCATGGGGTGCAAGACAATCTCCACAGGGCTGGGTGGAGCTTGCAATCGACACACTTCGACTTCATCACTATTGAGTCTTCCGGCCCATCACCGCATCCTGAAACCGCTAAGGAGGGTCTCTCGAAACACCGCTCAGGTGGTTTGGGACGTCCGTGGTATTTTTGCCGACATAGACATACCTGGACCATCCAATGGGTGTCCTGTCTGAAGGTCCCTTAGTAGTGTACGTGCTTCCATTGGTGACCCCGACATGAAGGTGCTGGTAGACGTTTACGTATCCTTTTTTTCAGAAGAGACGCAGACTGGTACAGATAAGCATACTGAAGCTGCAACTGTACAGATGATCACAGATGACAGATAGTTGTCCAGTCAGTGTCCATTGTAGCTGTGGAAGTAGGATGGTCCCAATGAGTGATTGTCCTACTACTGAAAATGGACTTGTATAACTGAGATCCACTGATGAAGTGGAAAAACTGCAGAGACAACCCACCAGGGACCCTCCGGCTGCGCACCGTCTGACGCGTCCGTCGCGTCCGACCTTCCGTGCGGAGGCTGGTCTTTCAGTGCGTCTCGGGGACCGCTTTGATGCACTGGGCCTCCGAAGAGGCGAGGGAGCGGATTCTGGCGGCGGGAAGGCGGAACTGGTCAGACGCCTGACGCTTGCTGTTTTTCCGTGCGGACCGGATGGACGTCACCTGACACACTTGTTTTTTTTGTTTTTTCCGTGACATCCGAGGGACCGGTGTTTTGGATCATGTTTTTTTTTCTGCTGTTTTTTTTGGGGGGGATGGGTTCGACTCTTGGGTTCAGGTGTTCTCCCTGAATTTGAGAGATACACTCCCTGAAATCAAGGATTAATTAGTGAAGGTATTGAAGGGTTCTGTTTGGAAAAAGGCAAGAACATTTCGCCAACCAACGTTGAGACGTGCCATCCGTTGTTTTGGGAGATCTTGACATCTTGTTTGTATATAATCCCATCCAATTGAAGTTAGCTGGTTGGTGGTATAGTTGTTTTGTTGGATTCCAACAACTTTACATGATCAAAATCCCAATGACTAGGTTTTGAGGGTTGAAACCAGTCGACCCCAGTGAGTCATTTCATTGAGTTGCAACTGACTGCCGTTGTCACCCCAGTTCGGTGTACCAGTCCTTTGTTCGGTGTACCAGTCGCTTTGGTTTCTTGAAATTCCTCCTGGACATTCCGAACTGCTCATGGTCCAGAATTTTGAATCATTGACCGAGCTGTTCTTCCTCAACAGTCAGACTAGATGTAAAGGCCCATGGCACGTGAAGACAAAGCACGCAAACCATTAAACAAAACACAAAAAGGGACATCCGAAGAACTTATGGGTATACCGTGCTTTCCACAGACCCGTTTGTTTAGGTTTTCCTTTACGCACACCAAAAAAAACACAAAAACCATGTGTTTTCTCCAAAAATCCTAGCGATGAGGACTTCAAGATTGG